CTGCCAGTCCAGAGGCACTGCCCCCGATGTCCACGCGATGCTGCAGATGCATGTCAATCAGGACAGCCCTGCAACATCCAGAGGCTTGAGTAACTCCGGGTGGATCTCATCCACTCCTGGGGCCCAGCCACTGACAGGCTGCGACAGGCACCAGTCACCTTATGGCCACAGCTCCAGTCAGCCGCCTCCACAATGGAGGCACGGAACATGGCCCATTCGGACTCAATGTCCCCCGTCTCCCCTGGGATATGGGCAAAGTTCTGCTGGAGGTAGGAGTTGAAGCTCCTTCTGACAGGGGATTCCGCCAGACGTTCCCAGCAGACCCTCACTATATGCTTGGGTTTGCCAGGTCTGACCGGCTTTCTCCCCCACCAGCGGAGCCAACCCACCACCAGGTGGTGATTGGTTGACAGCTCCGCTCCTCTCTAAACCCAAGTGTCCAGTACATGCAGCCGCAAGTCCAATGACACAACCACAAAGTCAATCATCGAACTGCGGCCTAAGGTGTCCTTGTGCTAAGTGCACATATGGACACCCTTATGCTTGAACATGGTGTTCATTATGGACAATCCGTGACGGGCACAGAAGTCCAATAACAAAACACCACTAGGGTTCAGATCGGGGAGGGCTGTTCCTCCCAATCACACCCCTCCAGGTCTCACTGTCATTGCCCACATGAGCATTTAAGTCCCCCAGCAGAACAAGAGAGCCCCTAGGACAGTGGTTCCCAACCCAGTCCTCAGGGACCCCAGACAGTCCACATATTTGCTCCCTCCCAGCTCCCAGCCAATGAAAAACAAGGGTCGGGTACACCCCTTACAGGTTTTGGGAGCTGGGAGGGAGCAAAAATGTGGACTGTCTGGGGTCCCTGAGTACTGTGTTGGGTACCACTGCCCTAGGAAGAGCGCTCTCCAATACCCCTTCCAAGGGCTCCAAAAAGGGAGGGTTTTCTGAACTGCCGTTTGGCGCATAAATGCAAACAACAATCAGACCCTGTCCCCCCAACTGAGGCGAAGGGAGAGTACCCTCTTGTTCACTGCAGTAAACCCCAACACACAGACGCCCAGCCAGGGGGCAATAAGTATGCCCACCCCTGCTCGGCGCCTCTCCCTGCGAGCAACTCCAGAGTGGAAGAGGGTCCAACCCCCCCGAGGAGACTGGTTCCAGAGCCCAAGCCATGCGTCCGAACCTCACAACCTCACGTACCAGCTCAGGCTCCTTCCCCACCAGAGAGGTGATATGTCCCTAGAGCTAGCTTCTGCATCCGAGGATCAGACCGCCAAGGTCCCCGCCTTCGGCCACTGCCCAACTCATATTGCACCCGACCCCTATGTCCCCTCCTACAGGTGGTGAGCCCATTGGAGGGGGGACCCACGTGCCTTCTTCGGGCTGTGCCCGACCAGGCCCCATGGGTGCAGTCCCACCCCCAGGCCTGGCTCCAGGGGGGGGCCCCGGTGACCCGCGTCCGGGCAAAGGAAATCGTGGGTCCATGTTGTTTCTCAGCATAAGGGGTCTAATGAGCCGCACTTCGTCTGGTTCCTCACCCAGGACCTGTTTGCCTTGGGAGAACCTACCAGGGGCATAAAGCCCCAGGCAACTTAGCTCCTGGGATCATTGGAACACGCAAACCTCTCCACCACGATAAGGTGTCGGCTCCAGGAGAGGCAGTGTATCATTTATTTAAAAAAAATAATAATAATAATTCAAGGGTGGGCCCAAACTTCTGGCCTGTAGTGTACATATTTTGCAAAGCAGGAATAGCACAGTACACAGAGAGTACCTACTGAGAGAGTCTGAGAAGGGAAAAACCACAATTTGCTGACAGGGTGTTAGGCAGCCAAGACTGATCAATGTGAGATGTGAATGAAGGCGATCCCGTCTGGGACAAACCAACAGAAGGGTGACTGTGGCACAAATGGCAGATAATTTTAATGATGGTCACAGGAGTAACATGTCACGACATACAGGGCATCGAACCCTGCTGTGCCTGGGGGAAGACATGGTCAGGATGGTCGAGGAAACCGGTTTAACGCCACCTAACGCCCCCTGCCCACATCAACTCCTGCATTGGCTCCCTCACAGCATCACTGAAAACCCCCAGGTGCTCAGGTAGGTCAGATTTGAAAGTGTCCCACACTATGTTTGAGCTGACAGTGCATGTGGGGAGGGGGTCACTGGAGGAAAAGGCCCTGCAGCTGGCCTTGTGCCTCATGGGCAACACTGTCCTGCCTCCTGCTACTCAGCCCTGGGAATAGATACAGCTATGCTGCACTAGTGGGGATATCGATGAGCTATTTTGGACAGTGTGTTCAACTGGATGCGGTCGCTGCAGACGTCTGGAGGAGCCTCTTTGGGAATCAGCTAATGACACCGAGGACCTGGCACGGCAGGCCTACGCACACATGCCCCCCATGTACAGAGTGACCTGCCAAGGACCACCTCATCAGAGCTATCTTGCCTAAACAGCTATGTCTATGTTCAGCTGGAGCGTGTGCACCCCCTGCAGGCAACCCTGGAGCTGGCGGTGGAGAGAGAGATCATGTGGGCGAGTCGGCCATCTCACACAGCCTTCTGTGAAGCCCACCTGCCCTGAGTGAGCTGGCGCACTCCCACCAGCCAGAAGCAGGTCCAGAGCTCCCTGGGCCTGGCCTCCTATTACAGGAGGTTCATGGGGGGCTTTGCCTGCACGGCCGCCCCTCTGTTCCAGCTGCTGCAGAGGGACAGGCAGTTTGTCTAGTCGCTGCAGTGCCAGGAGGCCTTCTGTAGTCTGCAAAAGGCCCTGAATGAGGCCCCAGTGCTGCCCCACTGACCTGTCCCTGCCCTTTATCCTAGATACTGATGTCAGTGGGGTAGAGGCTGGTGGTGCTGCTTCAAGCATTAGATGTCCTGCTTGCGAGGCCTGCCCTTCACTGTCAGGACAGACCACTGGGCCCTGCCACAGCTCATGTCCCTCAGGGATCCAGAGGGGCAGGTTGCCTGGTGGCTGGAGGATCTCTAAGCGTATGACTTTACAATCATGCACAGAGCCAGTGCCCGACACTCTAGTGCAGATGCCCTTTGGCGCTGCCCTTCTGTTGCAGATTGGAGCCTCTATTGGGAGAGAAGGGAGGTCTGGGACCAGGAGTTGCTCCAGGCAGAGGAAACCTGTGCAGCAGCATGTCAGAAACCTTGTTTCCACCAATGCGGTACCAGTGCTGGTAACAGACTTTTTCCTAATCCGGCACTGGTTCCACACGTTTCCACTGCAAAAAAATGGCTCCAGAAAAGCTGGGCTCAGAATGTGGCACTGTAATGTCAGAAAAAGTCAGGCAGGCTATGGCATCCAAACCTTCCATATAGCTGGAAAATTCAATCCATAACCGATACTTAGTCTAATAATGGCGGTGCTGGCAGTGAAACAACTTGGTAGTTTATTAGCGGAATAAGGTACACTGAAAATTCATGGACCAACTTAAAAAAATTGCTTCAATTGGTATAACATTGTTTTTTTATTCTGAGAAAAATGAAAGATTGATCTGCTGGCCATATTTAACAATACAGTATAAATATGTCGTAGGTCAAATAAATGAAATATTATGGCGTTTGAGTGCCGAAGAGATTTTGAGGCTTCAGTTTTTAGCAGTTTTTAGCATTTTCAGCGGTAAAACAGCAAACGAACTAACACACAGATGGGTTAGCCTTTATGGAGACAAAACATCATAAAATAGCTTCAAATAGTATAATGTATTTGCTGAAAATCAGATATTTCAACTTGCATTAAAACACGTGCATAATTCACATATGCAATGTTGCATTGTGTTTTTTTAGATAAAGTATAAATATGTTTAACAATAAAAATATGTTACAGGTTGAATAAATAAAATATTGTGGCATTCGAGTGGCAAAGTGATCATGAGGCGGACTGCAAAATATATTTGACAGACTCTTTTATTGTGTGATCCTTAAAAGGACAGCGATAAAACAGCAAGCGAGAATAAACTCACTTACACACCCAGACGAGGAACCTTTACTGATACAGACAATAGAGATGCTGGCAAGGTGATGTACAGGGTTCAGCTGCCAACTAGAGGGAGGACGCCATCCGAGAAGCTTCAGGGCCCTTGGTTTCCTCTCAGAGCCATGGGGAGCTGCTGTGGGTGCAGGTTTTTGGAATGACCTCTCAAACAGTCACTAATTAAGCAATGGTTCTCAACTCCAGGCCTGGGGACTCACTGTTATTGGCTGGCTGAGAGGTCAATCCACAGCACACCCACAGTGCCTCTGGTTCACCTCCCCTGGTCTAAAGGTATTCTGAATAAGGCACATGTTTTGAGTATCTTTCTAGAATACAATACTGAATACATTCAGGACTGTGTATTCCGCATTCAGACACTACATGCTTATTCATAGTGACCCTCAACCCTTACACTTACACAGACGATTAACAATAAAAGAGACAGAATGAGAAACTCGCTTTTCACTGTGAATACAGACGTGTTTTTATCCATCCATCCCCCTACTGTCCAGCCCCACACATAAGTCAGAATTAATGAGTTAACCAATCAGGGCACAATCCCACACACAGAACACCTCTGGGAACCAGGAGAGGGCGCTCACAGTCTCTCCTAGGGCCCTGCACCACTCTGAACTCTCTCCAGACTGGTTCCACCAGTTCCTATCAGTGCACCAGCCTCTAGTTCCCTTCTTTCCCCTCTGCCTGTTTAAGCTCCAGCTCCCCAGCAGTCCTCGTTCGGACCTTGAACCCCTGGCCTGTGTTTCCCTACCTGTGCTAGTCCTTGCTCTCTGTGTTTGCACCTGGTTCTGCTGTGTCCCAGTTACCCTGTCCCTGCTGTTCCTGTCCCATACCCTGATTTTACTCTTATTAAACCCTGTTCCCATCCTTTCTCACCTCTGTATCTTTGCCTCCTTTACTGCCCCCCCCCCCCTTACACCTGGTCGTGACACACTGAGCCTCCACACAACAGATGTTATTAAATGTATTAGAAACAGAGGTGACTCACCGAATTTTAATGTGTTGTTCATCCAGGCAAAGAGTTGGGAATAAATAGCAAGGATCAGCACATTAAACAGTCTGCTATTATCTGTAAGGGCAAACAGAGTAAATCAGACACCCTCATTATCTCATCAGTCTATACAGATATAACATGATATTGAATAACAAAGTGTCCTTGGGCTTTTCTGGGGGGCCCCTTTACATGTCACCCTACATCAGGTCCACACAATCTGTCAAACACCAGAACCTGCAAACTCCACACAAAGACCAGAGGTGGGACTCGAACCCCCAGCCCTGGAGTTAAGTAGCAACAATGCTGCCCACTGGGCCTGTGTGCCACGGAAAATGAAACAGCTCCAAACCTCATTCTGGTCAGAATTCTTAATATGCCAATGGACATAAATGTTAATGTGAACAAATAAATCCACATAAATATACTTACACATGAAATAATACATTATTACAAGAATGTCTCTAAGTTGTACTGTTCTTCCTATCCTTCTGGAGCGTATTATCCAAAACACACTGATACCAGCTGCAAGGAAAAAAAGAGTTTCAGTCACCAGCTACAGTAAAAAAAAGTAAAATCCTGCACAGTACCTGAGTTTCAGTCACCTGAGGGCTCTAAGTTTGAATGCTATACTGGATGCCAGTGGCATCATGCCCATTGAATTTTACTTATTAAAATTCTATGTATTTATGATCATTTTATAGAAAACATATTTTTCTAATAAGTCAAGTATTCTTCTAATTATGTCATATTGATCATACCTCTAAAAGTCACACACCCCCTTCACTTTGGTATTATATGGATTTTGTAACATATCTTTAATTATATGTGTCATTTTATCTTTAATTATATACACTCACCTAAAGGATTATTAGGAACACCATACTTATACGGTGTTTGACCCCCTTTCGCCTTCAGAACTGCCTTAATTCTACATGGCATTGATTCAACAAGGTGCTGAAAGCATTCTTTAGAAATGTTGGCCCATATTGATAGGATAGCATCTTG